TAAAAAAAAAAAAATTCCTTTAAAAGAATAATTTAAAAAAATTCCTTTAAAAAATTCCTTTTAAAAAATTCCTTTAAAAAAAAATCCTTTAAAAAAAAAAAAGTCCTTAAAAAAACCCCCAATCCTTTTAAAAAAAACCAAACAACACAGCAAAGCATATAAAACCAATCCTTACACTGGATATTTTGTGCTTTGTAATTACTTTTTTCAAGTAAGTTTTAAAATAATATCAGCTAAAGGATTGGTAGATTAATGTAGCTTGTGTAAATCTACATGTGGCACATAAAAGAACTCCTGATAAAACCACCAGGTGCTGTACAATGTTGAGCGCTTGTAAGTAATCTGTCAAGTTTACAAGAGGTCATCACTGTAATACAGGCACATGATGTTGTTTTTTTTTCTCCATTTGAAAGTACTGGTAAGGTTTTAAAGGCTACTACTGTTTTATCACATAAAGAGGAAGAGTTTCCTGTAGTCTTTTAAACCTTTTAAAACCCTTTTAAAGCAACATGTGCAACCAAATCCATCTGATTAAAGTTGTTCTTGAAGATAGCTGTGACGGGTTAGAGACTTTACGGCTTTATTCCAGTTCCTGCTGCACAAAGGTTTCCGTTGCAAAGCCCCAGTCGATGCTGTCCCTGCGGTTCTGTGCGAGCTGTGCAGGCCAGGGCGGGATGTAGGGGTGAGATGGTTTGAGATGCTGCAGATCGCTGTGTTTGGGTCTCCTATCTTAAGTGCTGTCAGCCAGGCATTTCCGCCAGATACTTAATGCACTTCCACTAAATTAAACTAAGAGCATCCGCAGGTGTTTGTATATTTTGGGGGTGTTTGTGTGCATAAGTACGAGAACACACACCGTGCCTTTTAGTCGGCTGAATCCTCCATCCCTAATTTATTCATGGAGAAAAAGGTTACATTTCCTCTAGATTTTTGAGGGTGTTTTGTTTAGCTTTTTGCTTCCAACAGACTTCCTAGAAAGAAAGGCTAAGAGAGTGTTGCAGGAAAAGCAGCATTTGGTGAGAAGTTTGGTTACTCTGAAGTACTATTTCCAGTTCCTAAGATGCAGAAGGAACTGGTCTGTGAAGGTCAGAAGCTGCCAGCGTAGTTCCCGTTAACACGACATGACGAATGTCGTGTTATAAACAGAGTAGAAGCTCTTTGTCTTGTTAGAAATCTGGAAACGTAGTAACTTCTTACGCTGCAACTTGGTAAGCCTGAAGAGTGGTTTTGGGTTGTTATTTTAAGCCTTACAGATAAGGAAGCTCAGCCTGAAACTTTGCAATCACTTCTTACGGGTGAAACGCATAGAATTCTGTCTTTGCTTCTGTTGATTATCTTAATTGTCTCACGGCTGTCAGGTTTTCACAATACCATTACTATCTTTATGACTGTTTAATACGATACAGTCTATGTTAATAAATAAAATGTCTGTCTGTAAATGGAGATGCTGAAAAATTAACTCTCTTATTATTTTTCTTCTATTTTTTCAGCGGAACCCCTGCCTTTAATGGACTTGTGCCGAAGATCAATTCGTTTTGCTCTTGGCAGAGACCGCCTGCATGACATAGAAATTCTACCTTTGCCTCTGTCTCTGAAAAATTATTTACAGTACCAATAAGATGTCTAGAACCCTCTGGCCTCACATTGGACTACATCAATGCAAATGGCAGAAAATTGTTTACAGCAAAATACAAATCTTCGTGATGGACACTTAAGTGTTATTTAATTTTTAATATATATTTTTTTCCTGAACCAGTGAAAGCAGATCACTGTGGGGGACTACTAAAGAATGTGAAAACGTTGATTTGATTGAGATTCGTGTATTATCTGTTGCCTGTTGTGTTTACAGTCCTGAAGGCCATTATTCTCATCTGTCGTATATTGGTTTATCTTTGTTGCCTCTGGTAATGCCAATAGAAAATCTGACCTGCAAGATCCACTGTTATGCAGGACAGAGCATTCTTCAATAATGCTTTTTTTTTTTTCCTTTCTCTCTCTTACATGTCACCCCAATAGATAAAAATAAATTAGCAAAGGAAAAATCTTGACAGTAACTTTTGAAAAATATTTAATCCTTGCCTTTGTTATCCAGAGTTGTGGAGAGCTTTGAGTGTTCAGCACTCAACATAATCAGGCCTATAATATCTAAAAGTTCTAACATTTAAAATAAAGCAGATTAGTGTCTAGAAGAAGAGTATGTGATTTAAAAACACTAGGGGAAAAAAACTGGTATGTGTGTCAGAAAGATCAGGTTTTGGACGTGGTAACAGTGAGATGCAGTCCGTTGTTTTCAAGACCAAATCTAGTCCCTCCAAAGTTCTGCAGTTTATAACAAAGTGTTCACTATCCCAAGAATTTAGGATATTCGTATTTTAGAAAGCTTGTCACTTTTTTATTTGAACAAATTTATAATTTTTATGTGGTATGAACTCTAAGTACTTGGTTCTCTTTTTAATGTATGTGTGGTTATAATGTTTATTTATCTGTTTAGAGTCTGTGGGGTTCTCATTTAACTGTTCCCCATCTTGGGGTGACTGATTTTGTTTTTTTCCCCAACTCCACCTGAAATGCATTAATTTTTTCAGGCTCATCCCATTTTTTAAGATGCTGCTTTCTATTTGCATTTCTTACATGTTTCAAGTTATCGCCTGATCAGTTATCTAGTTTTTAAACTGGAAGTTGTTGTTACGGCAGGATGTCAAATGTTTAGACTGAGCTGCCTCCAGCATATTTTAATGTGAATTTACTGATGAATGAGGAGAAAATTTCTAATAAAGTCTACTGTCCAAAATAAAACTCGTGCCTCCTTTGATGAAGTGTTAAATAACATAGCACTGGGTACAGGGTTGAAGTTCAGTTCCTCCTGCAGCTTTGCAAATGTTTCTGTTCGGCACTCCTTTGGAATTGCTGCTTTGGGTTCACGTGCGAGTGACATCGCAGGCAGTGTTGTAACGTCCTGTGCCTGATTTATTCCAATCACTCGGAATGTAGCTGTACTCTTGCTTTTAACACAATTCTGGCCAGATTCCTCTAAACAAAACCTCAGTTTTGTGCTAAGTTGCACTTTGAGACTTCACGCTTTTGAGGTAGGTTGAAGCTTGACCGCTGCGCGCTGATGATACAGGCAAAACCTCTGAACCGCAGATGGTTGCCCTTCTCTCAGTCACCCCAGGGAACAGAATCACAGTTTCAGTCGGAAAAGAGAAACATGAGATAAACAAGATACAACAACACGAGCAAGAGTGGAAGCAACAAGGGCAAGGTAACACAGGGATGTCAAAAGTTAAATAACAAGTATTTGCTCCTCTGGGCTTAACTGTGTAAGTTGATGCTTGCTTCAGCATCAGCTTATTTTCAGACTTGCTTTCACTTAAGGCGAGAGGTACATACTGTATTCCTTACCTTAGTCTTGCGAAGGGGAAGAAATTACAGCTGGGATCTGTACTGCTTTTCCCACTTGCTTTGTTTAAATTAAACTCTTTGTCTCAATAGGTATGTAGGAAGGAGGAGAGATAAAGATGTAATAACTCACCCAAAAGGAAAAATAAGCTGTGTCAAGTGATCTTTCTTAAGCGAGGTAAACAGCTGTTGAGGAGTGGCGTAGTAATCCTGGTAGACCTTATTTTTCCACCACTGAAGTCCATTTTAGGTAAGTGTTTCCTAAAGTTAGTGTTTTACTGTGTGTAACTAGACTTCATGTTCCTTTAAATAACTGCAGTGACACAACTGTTAAGCGTTGTCTTCTCTGTTCTTTAACTTGACCTAGGCTGACAGCTTTTTAATGTGACAGTGGGAACTGATATCATGAGGCAGATTAATGGTGCCTCTGTATGTTAATTAACCTAGTTATTTTACAGTTGGATTGGAATTTCAGTTGGTGCCCCATCTGTGATGATTCCTCTAAACCAAATGTCCTTTATTTTAACTTTCAAACATTTTTTCTAACACTTAGCTGTCTTCCAGGAGTGCTAGTTTTACAGGAGTGATAGTTTTATTCTTTTACTGTTCCCTAATTGCGTGTTGTGATGCTGTGGATGGTAGATACACCCCATCATGTGGGATTAGGGCCCCGTTTTCAGGGATCAGAGTCTTTTTGATATAGTTTTCTTGGTCCACAGAAGTCTTGTAAGGAGGATATACCATGGAAAATACTAACGATGCTTCAGTTTTCCCGCTAACCATCCCTTTGCAAATAGATTCTCTTCCAAGAGGGCTTATAGGGAAACCAGAGTGCCTATCTGTATTGCTAAGACTGAGTCAAGCATTGAGGCTGAGCAAGTAGTCAGAGTAACTCCTCACAAAATGTACCAAAAAAAGAGTCTCCTCTCTGTTGCTGAACTCCAGCCTGGGTGGTATGTTCCTCACATCGATTCTCAAGGCTCACTTTACGGGAATGCAAGCATTGTTTACTGTCTGCTTCAGGAGTGAACTGAGCAATAATTTATAAGGTGGCGATGCATTGGCTTTTGCCCAAAACAGAGGTCAAACACTAAGTTATGATCATTCTTCACCCAATGCAGTTGAAACTTCTCAGTCTCTCTATCCTGGAAGCCTAAATGCAGCAAGATACGTACCCAGAAGTCCACTCTCAGGCATATCTAACAGCAAGGATGATTGCTTTCTATAAAGCTATACTACTTCAGATTTTCAGTAAGATCTCTTCCATCTGTACTTTTAATTTCCAGCCACTTTTGGCTCTCATCACATGAAGAAACATAGACAATAGATGTAACGGTTTTCAGCTTTTGTGTGCCCGTTTCCGAGCAAAAGGAGTATAGCTTTTCTAGACGTGATCTGGCAGTGTTCCCACGGCTGGTAAACTAAGGCTCATAGAAGCTCTTTAGAGCAAAACACATGAGTCTTTATTTGAGGTATTTTAAAGGAAAAGGGCACGTGCCTGGGAGCTGCAACCAAACTGCAACCTTTGTGATGGGTGCGTGCTCATTAGTGGGTTGCAATAGGAAGTATTTCACCTACTCTTTGGGATTTGGATCTCTAATATGGCCCCTTCCTAGGAAGTATTGAAGGTGCAGAATCCCTGCTGTTAAAACAGTGGTTAAGACTTGTGGATACATGCATCATAGCTTCTCTTCGTTATTTTCTCAGTATTGCAGTTCTTCATCCTTCTGCAACTCTTGTGAGGGAGGGGGCTTGATTTATTCACCTGGAGGTGCTGCTTTTGTGATCACGATTCACAAGAGCTATAATCTCAGTGATGTTTTGGACCACTCTTAGCTTTTAGACTTACTAAAGCTGTAATTCTATAACACCTAAATTTGGGGTCAAATTTGAGAAGCCCTTGTCCTTGGAATAGCAGCTGTCATGCACGTGTCCCTACTACTAGGCTGACAAAGTCAGTGCTATGAAGGCTTTATTTCTGCTTCAGGTTGGACCAAGGGAAATGTATTGAAATGTCTGCATTCTCATCTGGAGGTAATGTAATACAATCTGTAGAGAAATTGTGAAGTCTTGTTTTAGACTTTATATGTAGTCTTTCTGGTGTTCAAGTTTCTATCTCAACGGATTGACTCAAACTGTTCCTCTTGCGGTAGGATCTAACTTTGCGAGTTTCTCAGTGTTCACTTGAAGCTGGGAAAACCTGTTACAGAAGCAGACATGTACAAATCATTCGAGCGTTTGTGATAGTTACAAAAGAGCAGCAAGCCAGAAATGCTATAAAATTTCCTCCTCGTCTCCACTACAGTTGGTATTGTTAGACTATAACCATATGTTCTCACGTCAGTCAGCGGCAATCGCTACGCAGCAAGCTTTGTATCAGATCCAGCAGTGCTCATTCAGGTGCAATTCCCACTGACATCAGCGGGAGATCGGCCTGAGTCAGCACTGCTGCCTTTGGTTCCCATGTAAAGATCTCCAAACATTTCCAATACATTGTACTGAGCGATACTTTGTTATATGTAAGCAAAGTCAAGCAGATGGTTTCTGCGGCAGTTTTTCTAATTTGGCAAAACATGCTGGCAAGTGCAGTTAGGTAAACGTTGTGAGAAAGTTGAACGAAAAAATGCGTCTAGTTGAGGCTGAGAGTGATAGTCAAAGGGGAAACTAGACTTTTTGGCTCCTTGATGATGATTTTCAAAAGCTTTTTAGTTTATAAACTCAGTGTTTTTTATTCTGTATACTTTAAAGAATGTACAATCTTTATTCGTTCCTGTTTATCTCACAAAAGAATGTCTGGTGATCATGAAGTGGAAATCCTTTGTTTGCCTGAATCAAAAAGACACCCAAAACCCTCCTTCCTCCTTGGGAAATGTTCTCAATAGACACAGAGCCGTGAGAAATATACAACACACATCAGCCTGAATGCCCCCCCCAGCCTTTTTTTCCTTGAGATTGCAACTGTTCCTTCAGAGAAGAACTGCAGTGTGTTCTGCAGGCAGTGTCTCAAATAAAAATGTTTTGAAGCATCTGCTACAAAGCAGAACACCCTACTGAAGGTATATTAAAGCAAATTTGAATGTACCATGGTGGGGGCAGAGAGCAAAGGACCAGAGCATTAGAGAACAGCATTTCCCTAAAGGTTTACCACCTTTTCTTTTTTTAGCCGCGCTATAGCATACAAGTAAATTCAGGGGGGAAGAAAAAAAGAAAAGCTGTTTGTGCTTCCACCGCCACCAGGAGTTTAATGTTGATGTTTAAGCCATAGCATCTTTTTCCCCACTAAACTCTTGTTGCACAGCCTTAACATCCCAAAGCTCTACCACTGACTGCATGTGCTTCAAAAGCCTCTGAAGGACTCTGGGCTCTGCTGTCGTGTGAAGTAGCACCCTTTTCCACATACTGTCCTGTTGGAACTTCATTCGTTAACTTCTAGGCAAAGAGCACAGCTGCTCTGTCATTATTGCTTTGACCGTAGGAACATATGGGGGTACCCAAACTAGCTTAAATACTAGCCAAATGGAAGTCCAGTAATTGGCAGAATGGAGCTCAGTATGGGATAGTTCACTGCGCCAAGCAGCAGTGAGACAGCAGTGTCAGCATATCTGAAGTGATTAATAAACGGCTGAGCTTACAAGGGTCTACATTTCAATTTGGAGGTGTCTTTGCAAATCCTGTTTAAAATAGGCGTCAGGATCGGATACTTCTGGTTTCATTTGCCTAGTTGTGAAAATCTGTAAGTTATATAGCCTCTAATCTCTCCAGGTGACAGTAGATGTAAAAGTAGAGCTCATGTTTTTAGATACTTTAACATATGAGGGGGTACTTACACTGGAGATGGCTATGTTCTTGGATTTTAATATATTGTTTCTTTGGCTTTTGAAAGCTACAGCACAAAAGGCAGGTGTCTTCAGACTTCTAAGGAAAAGCAAAGAAAACGCAGAAAGGAGCTGATGTTTCCGACAGTCCTCATGTACAACGAATTCTATTGACAGTTTCAGATACCAGTCATAAGCCGTCATTATAGAGGCACTTAGCTGAGGTCAGCGTCTGTTCAGTGGTGCCTGGATCGGTTTCCTCCATATTTATTTTTTTTTTAAAAGAAAAAGGTATTAAATAAGGTTATTAAAATTGCATGTTCCACTTGAAAATGCCATCTTTTAATGAATAAAATGTTCATATTACACTTAAGACTTTATTAACAGAGACACAAGTAACTGCTGCACACGTACCTGGGAAACTAATGCAAGTTTTTAATGGCAAAATACTTCAGCCTTTTTTCTCTTCACTAAGAAAATCAGTTTGGCAAGTGCACGGCTTCTCGTGTAGCAGAATTCCAATATACACGTGTGGAAGTGACTTCTCAAGCACAGTAAAGGTGCCTGTGACATTATTTTGGGGAC